TGTGAAACTCTTGCCTCTGTAAATATGGCCTCCACTTCTCAACTGCCATGATGAGAGCTAGAAACTCCTCATAAATTGAAAGGTGCTTATGCTTTTCTCCCAAGGCTTTGCTGAGGTATGCTATGGGTTGCCCCTGCTACATCAAAACAGCTCCAATCCCATCAGCACAAGCATCAGTCTCTACCTGAAACTATTTTTGAAAATCTGGCAATGCCAGGACAGGAGTTGTTGTCATGGCTACTTTGAGATTGTCAAAAGCCTCTTGTGCTTGAGCAGTCCATTGGAATTGCTTGAGTCTCAAGACATTGGTCAATGGCTTGGCAATGATCCCATAATTCTTCACAAACTTCCTATAGTACCCAGTTAACCCCAAAAATGCTCTCAATTCTATCATATTATATGGGGTGGGCCAGTGGATCATATCCTTGGTTTTGTCTAGATCAGTGGCTACTCCTGCATCTGAAATAATGTGTCCAAGGTACTCCACAAGCTGGGTTGAGCAAATGTACACTTTGGTGCTTTGAGGTATAGCTGATTGGCCCTTAGTGTTTCAAAAACTTGTTGGATATGCTGAAGGTGATCATCCCTGGTAGCACTGTAAATAAGTATGTCATCCAGAAAAAACAAGACAAATTTCCTTAAAAATGGCTGGAGGAGTTGGTTCATGATACATTGAAATGTTGCAGGGGCATTTGTGAGGCCAAATGGCATGACCCTGAACTGATAGTGACCGTGATGGGTTTTAAATGCAGTTTTATACTCATCATTTGGGAGCATCCTGATCTGATGATAGCCAGATCTCATGTCCAATTTAGTGAAGAATTTGGAACCAGCTAGTTCATCCAAGATCTCCTCCACAATTGACATAGGAAATCTGTTTTTAACTGTCATAGCATTCAATTTTCTGTAATCCACACAAAATCGCCAATTGCCATCCTTTTTCTTCGCTAACAGCACAGGTGAAGCAAAGGGGCTGTGACTGTGAGTGATTAGGCCAGCTTCCAATAGTTGCTTCACTTGATTCTCAATCTCAGTCTTGTGTTGGGGAGAGTAGTGATATGGTCTTGCATTGACTAGCACTGCATCTAGATACAATAGAACATCATGGTCATAGGCTCTATGTGGTGGTAGCTGTTTGGGGTCCTGAAAGATATCAGCATACTGAAGCAGTAAATCCTTTATATCTTCTGGTGGTGGAGTAACAGAAGATGTACTAGGAGGATCAAGAGTAGGATTATCCAAAATGACATAGGCCCATATGTCATTTCCTTGAATGGATTTGACCATTTGTTTAGCAGAAATGCTATGCAATGACATTGGGGTGGGCTGTAAACCTTTGAGGGTAATAAGCTTCCCTTGATGGTGAAATTGCAATGTCTTAGCCACCCAATCACACTGCATGGGACTGAAGGTTTTGAGCCAATCAAATCTTAAAATAGCATCATAGGGCAGTAGGTTCAACACTATCATGTCAGTGGTAAAGGTTTGCCCTTGAATGTACCACTGTAGGCCTTTCACTTGGTGCTTTGTAGACATCCAGTTGCCATTTGCTAATTTGACCTTCTGCTGCTTCATGGGAACAGTGGGCAGCTTGGTGAGATTGACAAAGTGGGAACTCACAAAGCTATGACTGCTGCCAGTGTCTACCAAGACAAGCATAGTTTTGTTCTGCACTGTTGCTTTCAATTTGATGGAATTAGCAACTTCAGTTCCTGCCATAGCATTGATAGACAGCTGTCCAAAATTCTCAGTGAGCATTTCATCAATAGCCATTTCATTCAAGAGATCTTCATTAATTTCCTTGTCCAGATCATTAGCCACCAAAGCATTGAGCTGGGGCTTGTTTCTTTTTGCACATTGTTCAGCATGTCCAGGCTCATATTTTTCACCACAGTGATAGCACAGATTATTAGCCTTTCTGTAATCCCGTAGCTGCTTATCCCTCCAAAGATTGGCATAGATAGATGGGGCTTTAGCTTCAGGTTTGGCCTGCTGAACTCTGGTATTGGGCCATTTTTGTTGATACTTAAGCTTGCTCCTCTCTACAATCTTTTGCTGTATTCTGGCAATAACAACAGCTCTTTCCGTAGTTGTTGGTACTTGGGGTTCCACCACAGCCCTAATATCATCCTTGAGACCTCTCACATACTGAGTAGCAAAGAACAAAGGATCATAGCTGGACCCATGCATAGTGACATCATACTACAATGACTGAAACTTGCTAGTGTACTCCTCCACAGTAGAAGTTTGCTTGAGATCTAACAGCTCATTGATGGATGGCTGATCTGTAATCGTCACTGCCAAACTGTTCCTGGATATCTGCAGAAAACTGCTTCCAAGTAACTGAAGGATGAGTTAACTTGTAAGTCTTCCACCATTTAGCAGCATTATCTTGCAAGTGCATTGTAGCTGCTTCCACCCACAGACTCTCTGGAATTTGATAAATATTGAAGTAGTTTTGACATTTGTCCAACCAAATCTTGGGTTGAGTACCATCAGATCAAGGGAAAAGCATCTTGGGTAAAGTGTGGTGAGGCAAGGTTTGTGTCTTTGGTGGAGGCCTATGGGTTTTGAAAAGATGGGTTGGCTCTGGTTTAGTATGGGTTTTACCTTTAGCAACAAAGACATTCTCAAACATGGCATCATCATCAGCTATCATCGAACCTTCACTAACAAAACCAGCTTCATGCTCCAATTGACGAAGAGTTAACTGAGCAACAGCTTGCCCATTGGCCTTGACCTGTTGAGCAATGAAACGTTGATCAGCATTACACTGTTCCACCTTCAGAGTAGTGTCAGCCAACTGTTGTTTAACTTCCTGCTGAGTAATACACATATCATTCAGCCTAGCATACAACAGATCAAAGTTTTCCATGATCTGACCCCAGCGGGTCTTCTCATCGTCAGCACTGCTCGACATTTGCTCAAGCAGAATTTGAGTCGCCGTGATGCAAAACTGACTATGAAACAGCACTGACAAATGATGTAGCAACAGGTTCAGTCAAGACCTCCCCTATAGCGTGCTACACCGAATCCCCACTCTTGGAACTGAGGCTCGATCGAGGAATTTTACAACGGAAACAGTGCTCCGCAACCCAAATCGAAGGACAGTTCCTCGCCGTACGCCACCGCTCAGCAATCGACTCTAGCTTATGGAATTTTACACGGAGACAGAGGCTCCGCAACCCTGGGCTAGTACTCGATGCTAGCTAGAGAAGAATAGGTGAGCAATAGAGGAATAGCTAACAGTGGTTCACGCCGCCGAACCGAATCTGGCCGATGCTGAAACCCCGGTCGAAGTTGATGTAGCCGCAGGCGACGGCGCTGCTGATAGTGGACGCGCCGCCAGATGTCATCGTAGATTCCACTCACCCCGATCCGCCGCTGTGGAGGCGTTCCGAGGTGCTCGAGCTGCTGATTTGGTGGATTTGAAGGTGGACGAACACGAACACGCTGCTGACCTCGGATCAACCAAAGAGTGGACCTACGGGACCTCCTGCCCAGCACCGCGAGGATGCCGTCGGGCATCGACCAGCCACCCGGGATTACGATCTGAGATCGAAGCAAACGAGATCGGGATCAGAAAAAGGGGAAAGGGAATCGGACAGCGGGCCGAGGATAGATGGTCTTTGATAACACTTGTAACACCCGTGGCCATCGACGGTGATCGCCGGAGACGTGAGAGACATGGTGGCTATCGCTGACGAGGAAGGAGCAGAGGGCGGCTATGTCTTCCGTTTACTTCAATAGCATAATATTCTTAATTGTCTTACAAGCTAGGGTATCGCCATATAAGGCATACAGCCGCGGCCCTACTAGTCATACTCTATTAGATAGACACTTAAACGGTAAAGGAGCAGACGACTTCAGGTACGCCTTCAGTCGTGGGCCGTAACAGTCTTGTACACAAATTTTAGCCTGGTGACTATCCTTACACACAGCACTGCACAAACTTCGCTCTCAGCTATTGATTCCCCTTTGGAAAAGGCATGTCACCTTATTTTGGGATTTGAGAATCAATATTCCTCCCTACTGGTAGTTCTATTTATAGTTTTATACAGTCAAAAGCACAATTTTTCCCCCTTTCAAAACCATCTTTATTCCATTGCACGAGTGAAGTCCCGTAGAGAGGTGGTGACCGGTGAGCTGCCAGGACTAAGCCACCGCAGCGTGGGTCCCATCGCTCAGGAATTCTGGCAGATGGTGACTAGTAAAGTAAATTGCATCTGCAGGTAAGGAGCTCTGCTTCTCTGAGATGCTATTTTCGGCTTTCATACAAGGCATACTCGTCTTTCTAGAATTATTGGTCTCAGTTTGTTCTAAAGGGAGACATGTCCTTGTTTCTCAAGTCTGCAGTCTGATCTCATCTGATGGATACATGCATGGAGGTAGCGTAAGCCCCGTAGCACAAACACAGTCTAGCTAGCCCTGCTCACCTACTACTTGTTTTCGTTCATGGCCGGTTCATGGGAAGCTTATCTAACATAGGAACATAAGATTTTACAGTAGCAGTAGCACAAGCAAAGGGTGAGCAGTCAAGCAGCAAATCCATAATTTGCATGTGACACCTGTGGTTCTGGATTTTTTTTCTTTAGAAAAAAATCTCCAGAAGTAAACACCTGGAAACATCCAAGTGATATGTAGTGCATCATGCAAGAAGAATAGTTCGATACATCTCAGACAGATGTATGCTCTGAAGATTTTCCACGATTGGTGAACCCATAACCACCAAACGCGCGCTAGTACTGCAAGGTTTGACCGAAGACACATGCATAGCAAGTTTTGCTGCGAACACAGATACTGATCCTTTCAGCTTGCTTACTCCACCAACCACATGAGAGTTGGTTCATCTCCCTCTTTACCCATACGTTTCTCCATGTGCACCACGTAGCATCGTCTCACATTGCTATTGCTATATATATAAAGCCCATGCAGGACCGGAAGCTTGCAACAGAAACATCAGCTAGCTGCTGCCAAGGAAACAGAACAGCTTAAGGACGATGGCCACAGGCGTATTGGGCTGCTTCAGGCCGGCATCGTTTGCCCTCTGCATTTTTTCATGTCTCCTCCTGGCCGGCGTGCCCTCGCTTGTGGCGGCGCAGGACCCGTCGAAGCTGAGCCTGGAATACTACTCCAAGACGTGCCCCAACGTGGAGCACGTCGTCCGGACGGAGATGGAGTGCGCGGTGCGTGCTGACACGCGCAACGCCGCGCTCATGCTCCGCCTCCATTTCCATGACTGCTTCGTGCAGGTCAGTCCTCTCAGTCAGTTCTCTCTGTTCTTGCATGACTACTTCACAGTTCACACACTGACCAAACTTTTCAGCTATGTGCTCCGTGCAAGCTTGTATCATCCCAATGCAGCAACTAGCAGCAAACCTTTATTCTAATTTGTGCAGCAGCTGACGAACATCTGAATCATATTTCTGAACGACGTACGATCGTCCTTGCAGGGCTGCGACGGATCAGTGCTGCTTGACGACACGGCAACCTTGATCGGTGAGAAGCAGGCAGAGCAGAACGTGAACTCGCTGAAAGGTTTCGAGCTGGTCGACAAGATCAAGGCGAAGCTGGAAGCTGAGTGCCCTGGAACCGTTTCCTGCGCAGACCTGCTGGCGATTGCAGCTAGGGACGCCGTTGTGCTGGTAAACCAAACCACATCATATCTATCTACCCGATCTTATTCTATTTTGTGCCTTGTGCAGTACACACCCTGTACTGTACTGTACTGTACTGTATCCATGCATGTTATATATACTACACGTACAGAACTGACGACTGAAAACTATGTCTTGCAGGTTGGTGGGCCTTACTGGGATGTCCCAGTAGGAAGGTTGGATTCCAAGAAGGCGAGCCTGGAACTAGCAAACAACGACATCCCGACTGCTCAGCAAGGCCTCCTTACGCTCATTGCCAAGTTCTGGGAGAAGGGCCTTGACGCCACTGACATGGTGGCCCTCGTCGGTATGCTGCTCCCTCCAATTCCTCTGCCAAAACCTCTTCAGGATTCCAACTCTTGACTAATAATATATAAATAAATGTCTACCACGTGCATATACATAGGATCCCACACGATCGGATTCGCCAGGTGCGCGAATTTCAGGGACAGAATCTACGGCGACTTCGAGCTGACATCCAAGTACAACCCGTCGTCCGAGGCGTACCTCAGCAAGCTCAAGGAGGTGTGCCCGCGGGACGACGGCGACGACAACATCAGTGCCATGGACAGCCACACCTCCGCCGTCTTCGACAACGCCTACTTCGAGACCCTCATCAAGGGCGAGGGCCTCCTCAACTCCGACCAGGAGATGTGGTCCAGCATCGCCGGCTACTCGACCTCCGACACCGTCAACAAGTACTGGGCCGACCCGGAGGCTTTCTTCAAGCAGTTCTCCGACTCCATGGTGAAGATGGGCAACATCACAAACCCTGCCGGCGGCGAGGTCAGGAAGACCTGCAGATTTGTCAACACATAGGATATATATAGGATAATGCTCAAGACTGGAGGAGAAACCCGGTGGTTGTGGTTGTGGTTGTACTTGTACACCTGCCCCTTCTTTTGATGGTTTATTTATGGTGGTTTGCAAAATAAATAACCCTTTGATGAGGCTATTGTATTATACATATATAGCATATTATATGTTATTGTGGCACTGTAAACTATGGTTGGCTGCTATGTGAAGATGCGTACACATCTTGGTCTGTGTATGTCTGAATTCCACGGGTGATTTGACAGAGCTTTACTCTCTATTTTTTTAGCTCTAATAACTCCTTCGTTCTTTGGTGAAATGATTCTACTTGATTTTGACGGCAGAGTAGGTAAAAAGTGATTTTTGGTGGAGATTGAATAGAGAGCAGTGAGGAGCATATCCATTTTTAGATTCTAATGTAAAGAAAGTGATTCTTTTATGCTCTTCACCAGAACATGTACGTAGTTCTGTTGTTTGGCTAAGAATAGTGATTATCAAGGAGAATCCGATCTGAGAACTCTGCCAAATGGCTCCTACATAACCTATCATGTGCACATAACGAGTATTGCCACCTGGCGGTAGACGAGGACGAGGACGAGGCTGGCCGGAGACCACTTTGTCAGATAAAGAAATGACCAAAATAAAAGTTGTAGATCTTGATTAGTTCTACAATTTTTATATTTATAAATTTCCTAGCTGAATTCATTTACTACTTCAAAATATTGTTTGAAGTTGCCATTTTTTTGAATCAAATTTTGAATTGATAAAACAAATTCACATGAAAAGATGACTAAAATGAAAGCTGTAAGAACACAATAAATTTATAGGGCATGATTTTAGAAAATTTTAGGGAAAAAAATCATCAAATTTGAAGTTAGTATGACGGAGAAAGACTAGTTACAGGTTTTAGTCAGAGATTAAAAAGAGAAATCAAACTTCTTTAAAAATTTAATTTCAAATAGGATTTCAAAATAATACATGATTTCAAATGAAAAAGTTGTCAACTAAAAAGTTGCATAACTTTTCGAGATCTACAACTTTCGTATTGGTTGTTTTTCCATTTGAGGTCATTTTAAAAATTCAAATTTCAAATTTAAGAAATTCAAACATAGTATTTCTTGACAAGATGACTTCAAATAAAAAAGTTTTCAACTACAAAATTGCTTAACTTTTCGAGATCTACAACTTTTATTTTGGATATTTCTCCATCCAAGATCGTTTATGAAACACATGCAACATCAAAAACAATAATAAAGATCTTAGAGAACATTAGAATAAATATTTAGGGTACATATACGATAACAAAGACCTTTCTCTAAGTAGGTCAATGTTACAATTAAAGTGTACCAACACATTATAAAATAACCACCTCAAAAACATTCTTCTAGCACCAAAGTAGGATCAAATAGGTGCTAGAGGATGCCAGAGGTGGATGACCAACTACGCCTATTTGAAGACGAAGGGGGCGGTTGCGTGAGCTCTGATGAACATGCCTCTCGGAAGACAGTACATTCATGCATTGGATGGATCCATCAACCTGCGGACAGCCCATTCAAGCCTCGCATGGATAGACAATCCGCAGACAGTTCAAATCACACCACATTTGATGGATCCATCAACGTAGCAGATAGCCCATGCAACAATTCCGTTGCACCAGCGTCACACCCAGCTTCTCCAGGTTTCGGCGTTGCTCCATCTCCAAAAACATTCTTCTAGTACCTCTTGTGTGCATCATTGCTAACTACGCGTAATAAAATTTATATGTGGAGGGCTTTCTCCAACAGAGAGGCCATATATGTGGATAGGAAATTGGACAAACAACAACGGATGAATTGGGCACAACACAACTGTAACACCCTAAGATTTGCTTCTTTGAAATAGAGCTAAAATGATTTAATTTTGTATTTTTGTGTTCATGAAAACATAAGGAAATAACAAATTTTCATTAAATTAAAATTTATAAGGTAGAAACATGTTTGTTGCATTCATGCCGGTCGCACCTTATGTTTCTATGTGCAAAATATATATATTTTTTTTAAAAAATACGTTTATGAGACGAATATCTATATATAGAATTTTTTTAGCTTTTTTCTGGAATTTAATTCCTACTCCTTGACCTTAATCTTTATATCCCAAGTTCCCAACAATCTTTTTTTGAGCTCCAAATATTTTTCCTGAGCTCCTCGTCTTTCAGTTTATCTCCATGATTTTTCTAGGGATTTTCTAAGCTTTTGAGCATTTTTCGTGATATAAATGGCAATTCTAGACTTTCTAGAATTATTTTTATTTCATGATATTAATTAATTTCGAAATTAGAAAAATTCGAGCCCAATTTTCCACGGACTCTCAAAGGCCATGCCTTTATTTACTAATGGGCTTAAATAATTATTTAGGCTAATTAGTGGAGGTGGATGGTGCAACATCAATTAGCAACATATTACTAGTTGATGTTAAGATGAGAAGTTTTTCTTCCTATATATATATGCACTAGTTCTTTAGTCCGAGCACCTCCGTAACTATTATAAGAGAAGCCCCTAGTTTGAGAATCCATAAGATAATAAACTAAATTTTTCCCTCTTTTGCCTCCAACGCCGTCAATCTGCTCAAGCTTGCAAATGCAGACACACAAAGCGCTGCCAAGTCTCCATGCGCCGTCGACGTTCGTCACCATCGATCTTCATGAGAATCGTCCCCGACACAAGCTATTGTGACAAGGAGCTCCCTGTACCCGGAGACCTGCACGTCAACTGGAGATCCCTGGCGCCCCAGTCCAGCCACGTGTAGCACTTGCGGGTTGTTGTCTATACCTTTGTCATAGCTGGAATCATGTCACTGTTTGCTCGATCGTAGCAGCCATGTTTATCAGCTATAATATAATATTTTTCTCTCACAACAAAACAACGTCAGCCAATCAAGCGAACAGAGTGTCGTCCACTGCATATGGTGAGTATCTCAGCGTTGCCTCTCTTTCTCTCTTCATTTTATATCCGCAATTCCGAGCCCCTCAACCGCATCGTCGCTGACCTCGTTGTGCCTACATCCAAACCTGATCATATCGCCGTACGTCCTGTGTTGCATGCTGATGATCGATGCATTATGCTGCTGGTCGAGTATCCGTTTGAACGAGCTCAGGTGCCTTGACCCTGCTGCTACCAAGACTTGTCATGTATCTGTCTACGTATAGCACACAAGCCATCAAGTGTTCCATGCATATGAGCCATCAAAATCAATACCGCCCGTACATTTATATGCCTAGTACAATCTCCTCCCAATCTGAGGGCGACGGCGGCTTGAAAGTGACGGACGGCAGCCGACGATGGATGCCCCCGGCCCCTCCCTCGACCGGTGGCGGGCCTCGCGTGGTTGAGGGGCCCGGCGGCGGTGGCATCCTTCGGCGACTCCCCCGACCGCCGACGGGTCTCGCTTGGTCGACTGACCCCGGCGGCGGCGGGCCCCACCCCAACGGCGGCGCTCCCCATCAACCACGACGACGACGCCTCCCTCGGCGGCTCTCACCACTCCGACGGCGACCGCGGTGGCCCTTGCCCCCTCCCAACGGCGGTTTCCCATCCAGAGGCGGCGGCGGCTCTGGGAGATTCCTCGTTGTGGCCATCCCAGCGGCGGCGCCCTGCGACCCCCCGACTGGCGGCGGCCCGTGACTCCACCCTGCGTGGATTCGGTCTACTGGCCATCCTCCGTGGCAGGGCCGCGGCGGCGACGCGCTCCCCCTACCTCGTCAGCGACGGCGGCGCCCATCTCCCTCCAGCGGCACTCCCTCTCCCACCGATGGCGGCGGCGGTGGGCACCATGCCCTCGTGGACTGCGAGCAGGGGCTTGTCCTACCGCTGGCTGGGGCTTCCTCTGGCGGATCCGGTTGGATGGATGCACCGTGTTTGTCCAGACAACGGATCCGTGTGGAGGAGCATCGACGGCAGGTCCCTCCTCGCAACGAGCAGCAACGGTACGTATTGGTTGAACGAGTGATATATTTGCTGCTAGGATCCGAACGGCAAATGCACTTCTGATGGCTTAACGTGATCCAAATCATGGTCTAAATTGTTAGATTAGTCATGTGAATGGCCAAGATAAATTAGATTTATTTTTCTGGTGTATCTTCAGTTTGATAGTTTTTCTCTGCTTTTTTTCATGCCTTGCTTACCTCCATCCGAACGAGAGCTACCAATAGTCAGAATAGGCAACATCTGACAGTAACATACAAATGCTTGCATATGGCTGCAGCACTACATTAGTATTAGATATATACGGTTAAATGTTTACGATTGCGGCCACTGGATTGGTGCTGCTTTTGAGCATCTTTCGTGGAGAAGCTTGAACTGGCGGCACAAGTGAAGAAACCAGCAATTTGTGGTATCATTTTGTAGTATATGATTGTATTATATGATTGTTCTCATTGAGTCTTGTACTCTCTGAATTTTCATTAGATCTACTGTTATATTATTTATCGTTTATTAGTACTAATTTTCAATGTTTTCTTTTCAATGATTTACTACTGGCTAGTTTCCTGATTATAAGAGAATTACTTCTAGAGA